AAAAAGGAGATAGATTCTGTAGATATTAATCACAATTAAGACCATAAGGTAGAATGGTCGTTGAATACAACAATGATAATTAAAAGTAGTTGGGGTATTAGAATTTTAGGGGGTGCACAAATTTATGACAATATAACACTAACGATGGACTGTGGGTATTATCTGCACTTTACTCTGATTCTGTTAGTCCAGCCTCACTTAAGAATGTTTTAAGGTCATGTTCTGTAGAGATGAAGTATCTCTTCCCAGTGGGCTGTTTCCTAACTGCGATTTTTCTGTCCCTCACAAAGCACTGGTGGATTTTTTGGGCATAGCGTAATTTTCTTAGCCGATAAAGGAGTTTTGTCTCGTTTTGGTAAGGCACTCACTGACGTAAACATCACTTTTCATAGAAATAGATGTTTTTAGTAGGTTGTTTCTTTGTAGGCTAGTTTGGAATTTTAACAGCACTGTTTTTTTACCCGCTTGGTAGCCCATCAGTTTGCAATCCTTTAGGTCATCACTACATATGTTAAGGCGAAGGTGGTCCTTGATAAGCTGTAGGGTGGTCTCCATGCAGGTTTCTTGGGCGACTGTGGGTGGGAGATGTTTGCTGTTAACTACAACAGCGTCAGATAGCTGCTGTTGGTCATTATGGTCTTGGAAGTTGGTGATGACATTGCAAGTTGTTGGTCCCATTTTGTATTTAATTCCCCATAATTTAATCCCACCCCTCTCCAAAACACCCTAGCATTTACTTCTTTTACAACCCCATCTATAAATATATTAAACAACCATGGTGACATTACACATCCCTGTCTAAGACCTACTTTTACTGGGAAGTAGTCTCCCTCTCTTCTACACACCCTAACCTGAGCCTCACTATCCTCATAAAAACTTTTAACAGCATTTAGTAACTTACCACCTATTCCATATATTTGCAACATCTGCCACATTGCTCTCCTATCCACTCTATCATATGCCTTTTCTAAATCCATAAATGCAATAAAAACTTCCCTACCTTTATCTAAATACTGCTCACATATATGCTTCAATGTAAACACTTGATCTACACATCCCCTACCCACTCTGAAACCTTCTTGCTCATCCACAATCCTACATTCTGTCTTACCTCTAATTCTTTCAATTATAACCCTACTGTACACTTTTCCTGGTATACTCAGTAAACTTATTTCTCTAAAACTTTTACAATCTCTTTTGTCCCCCTTCCCTTTATATAAAGGGACTATACATGCTCTCTGCCAATCCCTAGGTACCTTCCCCTCTTTCATACATTTATTAAACAAAAATACCAACCACTCTAACACTATATCCCCCCCCCTGCTTTTAACATTTCTGTCATGATCCCGTTAGTTCCAGCTGCTTTACCCCTTTTCATTCTACGTAATGCCTCACGCACCTCCCCCACACTCGCATCCTCTTCTTCTTCTCCTAAAAGATGGTATACCTCCCTGGCCAGTGCATGAAATTACCGCTTCCCTTTCTTCGTCGACATTTAAAAGTTCCTCAAAATATTTTCGCCATCTACCCAAAACCTCCATCTCCCCATCTACTAACTCCCCTACTCTGTTTTTAACTTACAAATCCATTCGTTCTCTAGGCTTTGAGTGTATCTTTACTAAATTACTTTCAAATGTGTTTAAAATATGCATATACATTACAGCACAGTAAGTATCTAAAAAAAAAAAAGATTAAGAGCTGGAAAGGTGCCACACATATTGCACTGTTGCCACACTGCATGAGGTTCCACACTCTACAGGGTGCTAACCACTGTAAAAGGCACCTCCCCCCCCCACACACACACATACTTCACAGGGTGCCATAAACTACTCAGGGTGCCACACAATGCAAAGAATATTACATACTGCAAAGAATATCACAAACTGCAAAGAATATCACAAACTGCAAAGAATATCACAAACTGCAAAGAATATCACATACTGCAAAGAATCACATACTGCAAAGAATATCACAAAGTGTCAAGAATACTACACACAATGTAAAGGGTGGTACAGGATGCAAAAGATGCCACATTCTGCAAAAGATGCCTTATACAGCACAAGGTGCCACATACTGCACAGGGTGCCCCACAATTTAGTGGGGCACCCTAAACATTTAGTGTCTCCCCACATGAGGGGAGACACTAAATGTTTAGGGGTTATACAACACCTTCGAGAATGGAAGGTAATCAGATCTGATCCATGGAGAGGGAGAGTAGCTCAAAGGCCTTAGATCAAAAGCTCTTTCCCTGAAGGGTGCCACACATTTAAAAGAGCCTTACATGCAGTGTGTGGAGTCCATACATCATCATAAAAATCCCCCCAAAAATCAGTTTTTCCAACTATGAGGAGAGATAAAGGTTATTTTTTTTTTTTTATTAACACATCGGCCGATTCCCACCAAGCAGGGTGGCCCAAAAAAGAAAAACTTGCATCATCATTCACTCCATCACTGTCTTGCCAGAGGGGTGCTTTACACTACAGTTATAAAATTGCAACATTAACACCCCTCCTTCAGAGTGCAGACACTGTACTTCCCATCTCCAGGACTCAAGTCCGGCCTGCCGGTTTCCCTGAATCCCTTCATAAATGTTACTTTGCTCACACTCCAACAGCACATCAAGTATTAAAAACCATTTGTCTCCATTCACTCCTATCAAATACACCCATGCATGCTTGCTGGAAGTCCAAGCCCCTCGCACAGAAAACCTCCTTTACCCCCTCCCTCCAACCTTTTCTAGGCCAACCCCTATCCCACCTTCCCTCCACTACAGATTTATACACTCTTGAAGTCATTCTGTTTCATTCCATTCTCTCTACATGTCCAAACCACCTCAACAACCCTTCCTCAGCCCTCTGGACAACAGTTTTGGGAATCCCGCACCTCCTCCTAACTTCCAAACTACGAATTCTCTGCATTATATTCACACCACAATTGCCCTCAGACATGACAGCTCCATTGCCCCCAGCCTTCTCCTCGCTGCAACATTCATCAACCATGCTTCACGCCCACATAAAAGCGTTAGTAAAACTATACTCTCATACATTCCCCTCTTTGCTTCCAAGGACAAAGTTCTTTGTCTCCACAGACTCCTAAGTGCACTGCTCACCCTTTTCCCCTCATCAATTCTATGATTCACCTCATCTTTCATAGACCCATCTGCTGGCATGTCCACTCCCAAATATCTGAATATATTCACCTCCTCATACTCTCTCCCTCCAATCTGATATCCAATCTTTTTGTTATCCTCATAACCTTACTCTTTCCTATATTCACTTTTAATTTTCTTCTTTTACATACCCTACCAAATTCATCCACCAACCTCTGCAACTTCTCTTCAGAATCTCCCAAGAGCACAGTGTCATCAGCAAAAAGCAACTGTGACAACTCCCACTTTGTGCTTGATTCTTTATCTTTTAACCCCACACCTCTTGCCAAGATCCTCACATTCATTTCTCTTACAACCCCATCTAAAAATATATTGAACAACCATGGTGGCATCACACATCCTTGTCTAAGGCCTACATTTACTGAGAAATAATCTCCCTCTTTCCTATATACTCAAACTGGAGCCTCATTATCCTCGTAAAAACTCTTCACTGCTTTCAGTAACTTATCTCCTATACCATACACCTGCAACATCTGCATTTACTGCATTTGAAGATCAGAGAACCAGAACTGACATGATAATAAAAGTATAAAATAAAGAGGCATTGATAAGAAAGAGATATGGAAATTAAAATTAAAACTTTTTTCTAATGAGCTAAACAAATTTGTTATGTTATATAAAATGACCAAAGACAAGGAAATATGGAAGCTAAAAACAATCACATGACTCTTAGCATACACCAGTTCAGGAAGAGAGCTAAAAGGCTCCTGATGAATGAAAATGCAGAAAGAAAGGAAAGTGATTTCTTGTATAGTTAACATTTATATACCTATTACATTAAGCTGATTTTCTTTATTTAATATTCACATAAACTACTCGGTTTCCTCTTAGCCCTTTGTATCTCTTTTTTATTGTAACTGATTTCAAGCAACTGATTTATTTGTGTGGTTATAATAATGACTGATTTCTATGGTAACTAATAGTTAGGCTGGTAACATTAAGATATTACAAGGACCCTGATGGAAATAAGTCACTTCATCTGACTTTATTGGGTTATCCTAATTGATTTACACATCATAGTGTAAGGCAGTTGTTATCACTCAAAATTTGTGTAACTGTACTTGAGTGCAAGTATACATAAATAAATTTACTTAAGATTCTTGAGATTCAGAGTACAGTGGACCCCCGGTTTACGATATTATTTCATTCCAGAAGTATGTTCAGGTGGCAGTACTGACCGAATTTGTTCCCATAAGGAATATTGTGAATTAGATTAGTCCATTTCAGACCCCCAAACATACACATACAAATGCACTTACATAAATACACTTACATAATTGGTCGCATTGGGAGCTGATCGTAAAGCGGGGGTCCACTGTACTTAGAAAGTAGAATAATCTGGATAAGGAAATAGTGGAAGCAGATTCTGTACATAGTTTCGAGTAAAGGTATGACAGGACCCTAAAGAATAGGAATCTGTAAAATACAGTCAACAGCAAAGATGAGACCAGAACTTTGAACTGACTACAATTAAGTTCACTGTAATGGGTGCCACAAACATTGCATTTATGAAAAAAAGATGATGCGAGCTTTAATTTTTAACATGGTGGACTGGGAGGCCAATGGAAGACCTCGGCCACTTGACCAAAAGCTCTAGTTAGGTCATTACAAGGATTCTAATAGGAATAAATCCCTTTGACTTTTTTGGGGGTTATCCTAGGTAACTTACACTATGTATGATAATTGTATTTATGTGTACCTGCACCTAAATAAACTTAATTACTTACTAGCTTATAATGTTTTTTGACCAATATCCCCATCACTGTACAGGGAGCCCCACCTTCAGAATGGAAACATACTGAATTGTGCTTAAAACGCACAAACAACTCACAGAGCTCATCGTGGAGAGCCGGAGTCGTCATGATACTATAAGATGACAATCTACTGCTGCATTTCTCGTCTTCTTTACCACGGTGTTGCAAAGACGTCTCTTGCACTGCACTGCTGTTGTCTCTGCTACAGACGTGTTGTGCCTTCTGAAGGTGCTTCTGCTGGTCCCTGCCTCTTCTTCTGTGCCCGGGAAGTAGTTTTCTTGAAAGTGTTGTCTTGTGGGGGACTCAATGTGACCGTAAAGGAGAAAAAAGACGAATATTAGCACTGATGCTGTGTCTTATGCACTGTCATCAGCTGGGCAGCCGCGTTCGTCATCCCGTGAAATAAACACTTGATCGCGTTCATTACTAACCAAACTACCAGCAAAACCTTAATTTTATGTCGTATAATTCTCTATAATGGCACTTTTTAAAATATACCCCGGAAATATATGGCCGTTATTTACTATATGTAGCCAATGATGGAATTGTTTGGAGGTACCGAGGATCGCTCCCCGGCACGAGTAAAACGCTCAGCATGTTTCCTTGCACCTGCTGTCCATGTTCACCTAAGTAAGTAAGTAAGTTTATTCAGGTATACACAAATACAGTTACATAGAATTATCATACATAGCAGCATATGTGTAGAGAACCTAGGATAACCCAAAAAAGTCAGACAGTAAGTAGGTACCTGGGTGTTAGTCTGCTGTTGTGGGTCATTTTATATTAGGGAAAGACAAGATTAAAGAACCCCAGCGGATATAAGGACGACAGTCCGCGAATTAGCAGTACTTTGGAGACTGGTTAACGGCCTTAGTCGGACCGAAACATCGCTATAAGTTTCAGTCTCCTAAGTGCAGGTTAAGTAAGTTTATATACTGAGGTGGTCAGTGCCTGAGGGACTGACCGGTTGATGGACTAATTAATTTTTTGAAAC